TAGCACAGTCTCCCAGGATATAGGGTCATCAGGCGAGACATGTAAGAAAGTGAAAGAGGAGCAAGTGTTGCAGCTTTGATCAGGGAATCTGTTACACCAGTAAGAAGAGAAAACATCAGAGGATCCTTTAAATGAAGCCATATGAGTAGAATGTAAAAACCATAAGAGAATCACATTACTGGGAATGAACTATAGGCCTCCAAACAGAGAGGGCCGCAAGATAAATAAGAGAGCAAGTATGTAGCTAAATTTTAGGCAAGTGTAAAAGTAATCGGGCAGTTATAGAGGATTTTGAGTTCCCCAACAACTAGGGTAGTCATAGTGTAAAAGGTTTAGAGGGAGCAGAATTCTTGAAAGGCATCCAAGACATCTTTTTAACCCAGTACATGGAAGGCCCAAAAAGAGATGGTCCACAACTCAATTTTAGGAAATGATGCTAACTAAGTAGTTGAAGTATCAGTAGGGTAGCATTTGCTACCGTCACTGTCACCACTGCCATCACCACCACCAATGCAATGGGAAAGGACAAGAATAGGCCTGAAATCAAAATTCTCACTGGGGGTTGGCTGTTTTTAGTAAGATCAGATATGATTTGGCCCAAGTGGACTGGGAGCAGATACCTTCAGGTAAATCTGTCTCAGCACCATGAGATGCATTCAAGAGGGAACAGAGAGAGCACAAGACTAACATCTTCCAATGAAGGAAAGGACTGGCACCATCAAATCTTGTGAACACTGTATATCAAAGGATATACAGCATTGGAATAAAATGAAAAAGGAGGGTTATGGCAGATACTGAGGGCTCAAGTAGCAGAAGCCGGAGCGGAATATAGAATGTGCAATACGGAACTTAAAAAGGAGATCAGGAGAGTTAAGAGGGGACACAAAAGGATACTGGTAGGTTAGATGAAGGAAAATCTGAAGTTATTTTACAGGTACATTAAAGATAAAAGGATAAAGAGGGAAACAGTATGACCCATTCAGAACCATAGTAGTAATTTGTGCATGGTGCCGGAGAATGTGGTAGAGTTGTAAATGAATACTTTGTGTCGGTAATTACTAGTAACTAGTGAGAGGAATGATATTGATAGAGAAATTGGAGAAGGCCTGTGATATAATTAAAGAAATTAGCACAGACAAAAGATGTTCTGAGTGGGCTGGCAGGCTTAAAAGCAGAGAAATTTCCAGGTCAGATGACATGTAGCCCAGGTTGAATGAGGCAGGGGAGGAAATAGCAGGGGTGCTTTTTAAAAAAAAACTTCCTCTCTGGCCACAGGAGAGATGCCGGAGGAGAACAGGACAGCCATTGTGGTACCATTATTTAAGAAAATAGAAGCAAGAGTAGGCCATCTTGCCCATCAAGCCTGCTGCACCATTCAATAAGATCATGGCTGATCTTTTTGTGGACTCAGCTCCACTTACCTGCCCACTCACCATAACCCTTGGTTCCTTTACTATTCAAAAATCTAACTTTCTTTGCTTTAAAAGCATTCAGCTAGGTAGCCTCAACTGCTTCACCGGGTAGGCAACTCTACAGTTTCACAACCCTTTAGGTAAAGAAGTTTCTCCTCAACTCAAGCTTACATTTGCTTCCCCTTATTTTGAGGCTGTGCCCCCTAATTCTAGTTTCACCTGCCAATGGAAACAACTTCCCTGCTTCTATCCTATCTGTTCCCTTTATAATTTTATATGTTTCTATAAGATCCTCCCTTATTCTTCTAAATTCCAGTGAGTACAGTCCCAGTCTACTCAATCACTTTATGAAGGAAGTTCGAGATAAACCACGAAACTACAGGCCAGTCAGTCTAACCTCGGTGGTGGGCAAACTGTTGGAAGCAGTTCTAAGGAGTAGCATTTGGAGATGCAAGAATTAATCAAGAATAGTTAGAATGGTTTTGTTAAGGGGAGAGCGTGTCTGGTCAATATGAATTTTTGGAAGATTTGACCAGGTTTGTGGATGATGGTAGTGCTTTCGATGCAGTCTACTTGGACTTCAGCAAGGCTTTTGGTAAGATCCCGTATGGAAACTGGTAGCAAAAGTAAACGCCCATGGGATCTGAAGAAATCAGGCAAATTATATCCACACTCGGCTGAATTGCAGGAAGCAGAGGGTGATGGCTGAGGTGTGTTTTCCAACTAGCTGCCTGTATCTGACCAGGTCCTACAGGGATCATTGTTGGGCCCCTTGCCGTTTGTGATTTATATAAATGATTTAGACTTGATTGTAGGTTGGTTGATCAGTAAGTTCGCAGATGATAACAAAAATTGGTGTGTGGTAAATAGTGAGGAGGATAGCCAAAGATTGCAGGAGGATATAAATGGGCTGATCAGTGGCAAAACAAACTCCATCGTCAATAAATGTAAGGTCATACACTTGGAAGACAAACAAGATAAGAGAATACATGATGAACATTAGGGTCCTGGGAAGCATGTAGAATTAGAGGGACCTTAGTATCAGAACAGATCGATAAAGTGGTTCACCCCCTTGCCATAGTTCTCTCTGTCAGCCCTATGCCTAAAGTCGTAAGATGCAGAAGCAGAAGTGGACCGTTTAGCCCATTGTCGATACAGTGTGGAGCTGGAGGAACACAGCAGGTCAGGCAGTATCAGAGGAGTAGGAGAGTCGACATGATGAAGGATCTAAGCCCGAAACATTGACTCTCCTACTCCTCTGCTGCCTGACCTGCTGTATTCCTCCAGCTCCACACTGTATCGACTCTGACTCCAGCATCTGCAATTCTAGCTATCTCCATTTAGCCCATTGAATGGCAGAGCAGATTCCATCAAATCATGGCTAATCTGATAACTTTGCTGCCTAAGATCCTTGCTTCCCAATCTGATTAAAAATCTGTCTCAAACTAGAACATATTTAATGACCCAACCTGTCCAGCCCTCTGTGGTAAAGAATCCCACAGATTTATTACTCTGAGAGAAGAAATTCTTCCTCCTCTCTATCTAAAATGTGCATATGAAGCTATCTGGTCCTAGACTTCCAGAAGGGGAAACAATTTTTTCACATCTACCCTGTCAACTCCTCTAAGAATTTTGTATGTTTCATTAGAGTCATCTCTCGTACTTCTACATTCCAACGAAGTGAGGCCCAATCACTCAACCTGTCCTCATAAGACAGTCCATCTATCCGTGGTATCACCTTAGTTAAACTTCTCTGGACTGGATCTGATGCCAGTATATCTTTGCTTAGATGTGGGATTGAAACCTGTTTACCATATTCCAGCTGCGATCTGACTAGTGCCTTGTTTAGTTTTTTTTTCGTGAAACCTCCCCACTTGTATATTCCATTTTCTTTGAAATAAAGGGTATCATTTCTTTCCTATTACTTGCTGAACTTGAATGCTAACATTTTTTGTAATTCATGCACAAGGACTCTGAAATCCCTCTGTTGTGTAGCTTGCTGCAGTTTTTCTGAATTTAAATAACATTCAGTTTCTCTTCTTCTAGCCTCTTCTTTTCCGCATTATATTTCATTTACCAAGTTTTTGTCCACTTGCTTAACTTGTCTCTATCCCTGTGCAAACTTCTTGTGTCATGCTTACTACATGCCTTCCCACCTATTTTTGTGTCACTTGCAAACTTGGTCATACTACATTCACTTTCCTCAAACAAGACATGGATCTGTAAATAGTGCCCCCCTGTGTTGATCACTGTGGCATTCCACTACCTACAGATTGCCATCCTGAAAAAGCCCCCCTCTTATCTAAATACTGTTTTCTATTTGTTAGCCAAACCTTTATCATATGCTAATTTACTACGTCCAACACCATGGATTCATAAGTAATCTATTGGCGCCTTATCAAAAGATTTCAGAAAATCCAAGTATACTATATCTACCAGTTTCCCTTTATCTACCCGGCTTGTTACATCTCCAGAGAATTTCAGTAAATTTCTTGGGTGTGATTTCCTCAGCATGAAATAATGCTGACTCTGATCATATTTTATTTTTCAAAATGCACTGCTATTACATCCTTTATAATAAATTATAACATTTTCCCTATAACAGACACTAACCTAACTGTCCTATGTAGTTAACATATAGTTTTATGTCTCCTTCCCTTTTTAAACAAAAATTGTTACATTGGCCCCTTCCCTCTAACCCTTCACGGTTTGCCCCTTGCCCTTCTCTCTCACTTCCTCGCCAACAGCCCCTTCTATATTGCCCCTTTGCTAATGGCTCCTTCTCTCTCACTGTTGCTCCCTTCCCTCTTGCTTCTGGACCATTGGAGCCAACCCTCTTGCCTCCTCGTCATCAGCCCCTTCCCAGTCACCCCTCACTATCCACCACTTCTCTTTCATTCCTTGCCTATGGCATCTTCTTGCCAGCTAGACCCCTCACCCTTCTTCTTTCCCTCTAGCCCTTGCCTCATCTGATCACTGGCCCCCTCAGTACCTTAATCATAAACATACTGACTTTTCTTCAGAATGATTCTGAAGACGGATCACTGGACTCAAAACATTAATTCTGCTTTCTCTCTACACATGCTGTCAGACCTGCTGAGTTTATCCAGCACTTCTCATTGTATGCATTTCTTGTTATAAGGTTGAAATTGATGGATTTTGTTCATCATCACCAAATTTGGATGCATTTGTCCATGTTTCATGTATTTGCTTCCAAAGTATTTCATTAGAAAATATTGGGAGTTTAAAATAAGTGACGTTCTGCCTACCAGTTTAAAGCATGGTTCCAGTGCAGAAAATTGTTGTTTTAAGTTAGCCAGTTTTTCTCTGTAAATATTTTTTTGTACTGTAAAGAAACTGGAGAGACCATGGTCAAATATTTTTGCGTATACGGAGATATAATTTCTTAAATCTTCTTTCTCCTGCCCTCTCTTTCTGTGGCATTAGAATTGACAATGTTGCATTAAATTGTTAGTGTCCAGTTTATTGATAGTTCTCAAGTTCTGTGTAAACTAGTAAGCTGACAACTTCAAATTTTCAAAGATTCTGAACTGGTTTTTGTTTGAAAATGTAACTTTCTAACAACAGAATGCAGTCTGAACTCATTGAAGATTTACGGGAGCCCAGAATGTCTTCAGCGCTAAACAAGTAAGTACCAGTTTAGTATCTCCTCTAAACCTGTGGTCAGGTCTTGTGTAACCAGTGTTGCACCAGTGGCTGCGCGTAGTCTAGGTTACAAATTAAATGTGAATAACTGCTAGCAGTGGAGTCATTTCATACTTTGGACAGCATTTAGCATTGGTTATATCCAGGAAGATGTTTAAAACTCAATAGGAGAACTTTTAATGAGCAAGGAGTTATGATGACCTCACTGACGTTGAATGTTAATTATTTATCTGAACAGATATTGCTTAGATTTCTTTCATTTTCAATTTGTAATTCATGTTTACATCTACAATTTTTTGCCTTTGTATGCATTATTCCTAGCTTTCAAAAAAAATTGCATATAATGGTGCATATTAATCATCCCATGTGGGATGGTCAAGGTACATCCGTTACAAAATGCCAGTGTTCCTAGATTAGATGATGTTTTACACAAAAGTTTTTGTATGAGATTCAGTGCTGATTTGAGTTCTGGGAAAAGATTAAGGAGGTTAAACATGCGATAATAATGGGCAATTTTAATCTCCGTGTATATCAGCCAAAACAGATCGGCAAAGGTAGCCTGAAGGATCAGTTCATAATGTTTTCGTGACAGTTCTTTAGAGCAGCTAGTAATAGAGACAGCAGTAGGTAGGTTATTCTAGATCCTCTAATGTGCAACAAAGTCAGTAGTAATTAGTGACCTCATAATAAAGGCACCATTATGTAGCAGTAAGTTTGAGAGCAAGAAGTGGCACCTTCCTGAAGAAGTGGTGGATGTGAGCACAGTGTTTAAAAGACACTTAGATAAGTACATGAATAGGAAAGGTTTGAAGGGATGTGGGACTAGTTTATTTTGGGATTATGTTCGGCATGGACTGGTTGGACCAAAGGATCTGTTTCCGTGCTGTATGACCCTACGACTAAACATATTAAACTTGTCTAAGAGGCACTTTGCATTTATGATGATACAAAGACAGAGCTGGTTTGTTTGAATAAATCAGTAGAGATCCAGTGATGTCGTAGGGCTGAGATGATTAACCTTCAACATCCACAACCATCATCTTTTGTACCAGTTAAGACTCTAACATTCCCTTTCTCCAGTTCCCACTGACTTCAGTTTTGTTAGGGTTCCTTGATGCCACACTTGATAAATTGCTGCCTTAACGTCAAGGACCTGACGTTGTTCTCTTGCAATCTTGTTCAGGTTCATTGCAAGTCTCTTTTAATCTCCTTTCCTCAAAGGGAGATAACTTCAACCTAACCTCGTAGATAAAGCCGCCTGCATGCCTGGTAAATCTCCACTACACCCTCTCAATGGCCCAAATGAACTTCCTAAATTGTCATAATCAGAATTGGATGCAGTGCCCTTGTTGTGACCTAATCAGAGCTTTACAAATGTTCAGTGTAACTTCCCTGCTTTTGTACGCAATACTATAATTTTTAAAGCCAAAGGTCCTGTATATCTTACCAACTAACCTCTCAAAGATTTCTGGGCATAGACCCCCAGGTCTCTCTGCCTCCCTGCACCCCCTTCAGAAAATTAACATTATTGGGGTGTATCTCCATATTCCTGCTGCCAAAATACATTACCTCGTACTTCTCTGTATTGCATCTCAATTTCCATTTGGCTATCTATGATGTAAGGTGTCATCAATGGTGCTATCAAGCAGCATGTGTTTATCAATTGCCTATTCGCTGATGTTCATTTTGAGTTCTGTCAGGGCCACTCAACACCTGACCTCATTTCAGCCTTGTTTAAAACATGGATAATACAGCTGTGTTCCAGAGGTAAAAGTGACTGTCCTTGGTATTACATTTAACCAATATATCATTAAGGAGCCCTAAAAGAATTGCAGTCAAGGGGGGAAACCCCCTCTGGTTGGAGTCATACATGGCATACTTGGAGAAATTGACATGATTTCCCTTGAAGCGAAGGCGATGATTGTGGTTGTTGGAAGTCAGGCATCTCAGCTCCAGCACATTTCTGCAGGGGTTCTTTGAGATTTTGTGTCCAAGGTCCACCCATCTTCAGCTGCTTCATCAATGACCTTCCCTCCATCATGAGGTCAAAGGTGGGAATTTTCACTGATGATTTACCACCATTTATTCCTCCTCATACTGAAACAGTTTATAACCAAATGTAGCAAGATGCAGATAACATCCAAGTTTGGGCTAATATGTGGCAAGTGATGTTCACATCGCAAGTACCAAACAATGACCATAATCAAACAAGAGAAAATCTAATCATCATCTGAGAGCATCTAATGGCATTACCATTGCTGAATCACCCACTATCAACACTTTGCAGATTGCTATTGACCAGAAAGTGAATAGGACTAGCCGTGTAAGTATTGTGGCTACAAGAGAAGGTCAGAGGCTTCAAATTCTGCAGTGAGTAACTCACCACCTGACTCCTAAGCCTGTCTACTATCTACAAGAAACAAGTCGTGAGTATGATAGAATACTCCCCACTTGCCTGGATGCATGTGCTCTAGCAATACCTAAGAATCTTGGCACCATTCAAGTCAAAGCCATTTGATTGGCACTGCATCCACAATCATTCATTCCTTACACTACTGATGCTTGGTAGCAGCAGTTTGTACTTCTACAAGATGCACCGCTGAAATCTACCGAGGAAATTCAGACAGCGCCTTCCAAATCCCTGACCACTTCCATCTGGATAGAAGGACATGGGTAGCAGATAGGTGTGAACAGCACCTGCGGCAAGTTTCCTTGAAGCCACTCGCTATTTTAACTTAGGAATAGATCACCATTCGTTCAGTGTCACTAGGCCAATGTCCTGGAACTCCCTCTTGAACAACATTGTAGGCTTACCAACATGAAATAGACTGCAAGGGTTCAAGAAGGCTGCTCACCACTACCTTGTCAAGTGCAGTTAGTGACGGACAATCAATGTTTGCCCAGCCACAATGCCCACATCCCACAAAAGAATTTTTAAAAAGTTCTAATCTATATGCATTCTGTTGCAGTCAATTAAATTCCATCCTGACTGTTTACCACTCCAAGTTTGGTATCATCAGGATTTTTGTTTTGAAATTTTACTCTGCATTCTAATATCCAATTTATTTGCAATATAACAAAGAAATAAGTCGTCTTCGCCCTGACTCTTGGACTAGTGTCTCCCATCCTCTGTCGTGAGAATTATCCATTCATCATAATTCACTGTTTTCTTGTTATCAAAAGTTGTCATTGTCCATCAACTTGTCAAATGCTTTCTTAAAATCCATATCACATCTATTGCATTCTCTTCATCAACCAACTTCATCAAAAAATGTAATTGTTAGTCAAGAATCGTTTGCCTATTAGAAATTCAAGCTGTTTACTTAATTAACTCAAAATTCTTCAAGTGCCTGTTGATTTCTTTATTACTCATGACTAATATTTCTAAAATCTTACCCACCACTCGATGCTGTATTAACTAGGCTGTAGTTGCTAGGACTGTCCTTTTATTCCATAACTGGAAAAAGCCATGGTAAACCTTTATTTCTTTACGTGTGGGAACTGAGCATTGCTGACTGGTCCAGCATTTATTGCCTGTCCCTCATTGCCCATGAGATGGTGGGTATTGAGCTACCTTTTTTAATTACTACAGTCCATGCACTATAGGTAGACCCACAACACTGTTAAAGAGGGAATTCTATGATTTTGACCTAGTGACAGTGAAGGAATGCTGAAATATTTCCAGGTCAGGGTGGTGTTCCCATGCGTCTGCTGCCCTGATCCTTCTAGAAGGAAGTGGTGATGGGTTTGGAAGATGTGTAAGGATCTTTGAATTTCTGCAGTAACTATATTGTAGATATTACACACTGCTACTGAACATCAGTGATGGAGGCTGTTGGAACTTATCTCCAACTATCTGGACTCCATTTTCTCCCCCTTGGTCCAGGAACTCCCTACCTACGTCCGTGACACCACCCACGCCCTCCACCTCCTCCAGAACTTCCAATTCCCCGGTCCCCAACACCTCATCTTTACCATGGACGTCCGATCCCTATACACCTGCATTCCCCATACAGATGGCCTAAAGGCCCTCTGCTTCTTCCTGTCGCGCAGGCACAACCAGTCTCCCTCCACTGACACCCTCATCAGCTTAGCCGAACTCGTCCTCACCCTCAACAACTTCTCTTTCAACTCCTCCCACTTCCTACAGACAAAGGGGGTGGCCATGGGGCCCATGGGTACCCGCATGGGCCCAAGCTATGCCTGCCTCTTTGTAGGTTACGTGGAACAATCCCTCTTCCGTACCTACACTTGCCCTAAACCCCACCTCTTCCTCCGTTACATTGATGACTGTATCGGCGCCACCTCGTGCTCCCACGAGGAGCTCGAACAGTTCATCCACTTCACCAACACCTTCCACCCCAACCTTAAGTTCACCTGGACCATCTCTAATACCTCTCTCTCCTTCCTGGACCTCTCTGTCTCCATATCGGGCATCCACCTAGAAACCGATATCCATTTCAAGCCCACCAACTCCCACAGCTACCTAGAATACACCTCCTTCCACCCACCTTCCTGCAAAAATGCCATCCCCTATTCCCAATTCCTTCGCCTCCGCCGCATCTGCTCCCAGGATGAGGCATTCCACTCCCGTACATCTCAGATGTCCTCATTTTTCAAGGACCGCAACTCTCTCTCCTCCTCCTCCCCGCCCTCCCCCAGTGGTCAAGAACACCCTCAACCATGTCTCCCACATTTCCCGCAACTCATCCCTCACACCCCGTCCCCGCAATAACAACCAAAAAAGAATCCCCCTCGTCCTCACGTACCACCCCACCAACCTCCGGATCCAACGCATCATCCTCCGACACTTCCGCCATCTGCAATCCGACCCCACCACCAAAGACATCTTTCCCTCCCCACCCTTATCTGCTTTCCGGAGGGACAACTCTCTCCGTGACTCCCTTGTCCGCTCCACCCTCCCCTCCAGCTCCACCACACCCGGCACTTTTCCCTGCAACCGCAGGAAGTGCTACACCTGC